GGCAATTTTAGATGAATAATTTTGTATTTAATTAAAATTATAATTCAAATTAAATATATTAATACGTGTTGAGAAAGTTGTTCATATAAAATTTTAGAGTTTTTTTAGTACAAAATTTTAGAGTTAGTTGATTTTAAATTAATTAGAGACCAATGCATGTTACTATAAGAAATTCAGAGGTTTTAATTTTATATATATACTAGCATTTTGTACGTGCGATGCGAAAATCGTGCCTAATATTATACATTGATAAATACAAATAATTAAAAATTATAATTTGAATTATATATATACAAGTATTATATGTATTTTATGCAAACACACATATGATTTACCCTTCAATAGAAATTTAATTAAAATATATTCAACCATTAAATTAATTATATAATGATTTTAATAAAATGATAATTAAATAATAAGAAAAAGATATGATAAATATAGGTGTATGGTAATAATGATGGAGTTATTAATGTTATAATTAAAAAGTAACGGTATTATAACTGTGTAAGAGTAGTTTTGTCTAACAAAAATGTGGTAGGGACAATTTTGTCTAATAACATTGAAGTGTACAACATTTAAATTAAAATGTATACATTTATTAGCATATAAAAAGATGGACATAAATCAAGGATATAACATTAATTGAGACTTATTATTTTTTAGATTAGATATGCTAAGGATCCTGTGAAAACAGTGGCATAGGGGAGAAATAAAACCAATCCCAGTCTTACATTCGAAAAAAATCGACGGATCTGATCAGATTTTTTTAAAAAATATAGTGTCATTTTTAGGGATGGCAATGTGCCCCGTCCCCGTTGGGGATCCCCGTTGGGGATCCCCGTCCCCGTTGAGGACGGGGACGGGGACGGGGAAAAGTTTCGGGGAACGGGGACGGGGATGGGGAGTTTGTGAAATTCCCCGGTGGGGACGGGGACGGGGACGGGGATACCCCTCCCCGCCCCGCCCCGTCCCCGAATAATATATATATAGTTTTAGGAATTAGAAATTAGATATAGATTATTAGAATTTCTTTTTGCGTGTGGCTAATACAGTGTACTGTTGATTTAAACATAATTAGTTAATTACATAAAACACAGTTGTATACTGTGTATATTGAATATTACATATAGTATAATGTATGTAATTAAACATAATTGTATAAAGCATTGTGTACTGTGTATATATATTGAATAGTATAGAATATATGTATTTAAATTCTAAACATAATTACATAAGCATTGCTATACTAATACTGTGTATATATTCAAATATATTATATATTATTGAATATTGAATGTTGAATTTTTCTTTTATAGATTTTGATTTTTTTTTAAATTGTACAATGGGTTGATCGGGGACGGGGAATCCCCGTCCCCGCCAAATTCCCCGTGGGGACGGGGACGGGAAATTATTTCAAATCCCCGCCGGGGATGGGGACGGGGACGGGGACGGGGTTGGGTTGGCGGGGACGGGGACGGGGAGTATACTCCCCACCCCCGCCCCGCCCCGTTGCCATCCCTAGTCATTTTTGTAATTATCATCAACTTCACTATGTGAACTTTAACACTTAAATAAGCAATCTTTAAAATACAACTAAATATGCAAACCATACAAATTTTATAAAATCAATGAAAAAACTAAAATTTAAATCTAAACCGTAAATGCTAGACTTTAAGTAGTAAAAAGTAAACTACTAAACCAAATAAAACCAAAAACTCAATAATAAACTCTAAAATCGAAACCTTAAGTGCAATGCACTTTCGTATTTTTGCAAGTACAATTTTTTACTACTAAATATGCAAAATGTTAATACTAAATGCGCAAAATGTTAATATTAATTGTGCAAATCTGAAAAAGTTTTAGAGTTACATATTTTAGTGTTCAAGTTTGCATAGTAAAGTTGGTGATAATAATGAAAATGCCACCACATTTAAAAAAATAATAATTGATCTGATGTGTCTGATTTTTTCAAACGTAAGCTGAGATTGATTCTTATTTCACTCGTAAGGACTTGTTCTCATTTGATCCAATACCTATACATACATACATACATACATACATACATACATACATACATACATACATACATACATACATACATAGATACATACATACATACATACATACATACATATATATATATATATATATATATATATATATATATATATATATATATATATATATATATATATATATATATATATATATATATATATATATATATATATAGTGTTTGACAAATAGTAGTTAGTGATAGGTGATTGAGTTAGATGGTTTGACCAACTGATAGTATTAACTGGTTGTAGAAATGTGTTTAGTAATTCAGTTTTTTACTCTTAGCTGATTACATGTAAAATGACATTTAAGGTTATGAGTGTATTGTGTTACCTTAAGTTTTAAATATATTAGGAGGTATGAACTCTTAATATTGATAAATGATTCTAAAATTTTAGTCACCAATTATACTTTTTCTGAGAACATAAAAGTATGGGTAACACTTGTGCGAGACTGTCTCACGGGTCTCAATCTATTAGACGGGTCAGGTATTTGATTAATTGGTCAAATCTTTGACCTCATTAATCAAAGATTCGACCCGTCTCACGAATTGAGACCCGTAAGACGATCTCACACAAGTTTTTGCCTAAAAGTATTATTTTTATTTATTTAACAATTGTTAAATTATTTATAATTAAAGATATTTAAAATATAAAATGATTTTGTAGTAAAAATTATGGAGTACCATCATCAAATGTCTAAACCCACAACCCGTATTATTATCAATCGTTATACCCTACACCACGGCGTGCGTAAGAAGTTGCTGTGATTATGTGTATTTGTTCACACAATTATGTGTATTTGTTTATACAGTTATGTACATTTTTTATACAATTATGTATATTCTTTTTATACAATTATGTACATCCGAATCAGAAAATTTGTGTGTATTATGTTAAGAGTTGATGTGTATTATGTTAAAAGTTTATGTTTATTATGTATTATGTTAGATTATGTGTATTATCTTTTAAAAAGAGTATGTATATTTTGTTATATAATTATGTACATTCATGTATACAATTATGTGTATTCTAGTATAACATTATGTACATTTTTGAACAACGGGTTTTTTTTAAAGAAAAAATTACTGTCATTCACTGGGGCAGGAAATTTCAAAAAAAAAAAAAAAAAAAAAAAAAATTAAAACGACGTCGTTTTGCATCTGGGTGCATAGTGCAACGCGCGCCGTGATGTAGGATATAAATTGCCTATTATTATTACTAGTTTTACATGTGCATTGTTCGACTGATTTAATACCCAATATTTGTATTTAAATAATTAATTCAAAATATATCAATTCAAGATTATATATGCAAAGACAATGATAATAGATTAATAGGTATAGTTTCTCAACTGTGTTAAATATATATATACTATAAATTAGGTGTACCGTTTCATCAATGCCCTCACAATCTTTGCTTTGCTAAACATACTTTAAATATATATTATTTAATATATGTTGACTACACTGTAGTGTGATGGCACCTCTGTTATCAATTTAAATTTGTGGTCACATGATCGAACTCCAGTGGTGGGGACATAGAACAGATACTACATTGTAAACAATCATGAGTATTTCAAATATGCCCGCATGGGTAGCTCAACTGGTCATAGAGGTGAAACTTTGTAAGAATGACCAAGGATTGAGTCTCATCAGCGGCAGTGTGGGAGCAACCTCTCAAAGTGAGGGGGGTTCCCTGTGCGCAGTGAGCATCGGTCTACCTTTGTGATTAATGTTCAGTTGAGTCACCATGATTTACAACCTCCCACACCTCTGTCGGGCCGGGGTGGGGGTTCCTTGTGCGCAGTGAGCACCGGTCTAGCCTTTGTGATTAATGTTCAGTTGAGTCACCCAACCTCCCACACCTCTGTCCTCTGTCGGGCCGGGGTGGGGGTTCCTTGTGCGCAGTGAGCACCGGTCTAGCCTTTGTGATTAATGTTAAGTTGAGTCACCATGATTTACTTCCCACTGCTCTGTTGGGCCGGGGTGTGGAGGGCCCTTGGGGTTCAGTCTTTTGGAAGAATGAGTATTTCAAATATACATTTAATATCATATCTTTAATAGTTGGATTAAGGCTGGTAACAAACTCCTAACATCCACATAGTTGGATTAAGGCTGGTAACAAACTCCTAACATCCACAACACTTAATGGATGGCAAATTTCCCTTTTGTGGATATTATTATTTACTTTCCAATCTTGTTGGTTTCAATTTAAAGAAATGGACGCGAACTCGTAACAAAGTTTTCCTTTTCTGTTTTTTAATTACATGTTTTCTCTTTTGAAATTTGGGTAATATTTCTTTCTTGTTACTATGATTTAAAGTTTACATATAAAATTATAAAATTACTATGATTTCAAGTTTAAAATTGTAATTCAAATTAAAAATAGTAATACGTGTAGAGAAAGTTGTTCATATAAAATTTTAGATTTAGTTTATTTTAAATTAATTAGGGACTAATGCATGTTACTAAGCTATAAGAAATTCTGAGGTTTTAATTTTATATATATATATATATATATATATATATATATATATATATATATATAGTATAATTAAAACAATATAGATAAATAAAAGATGATTGAGTTAGGCAAGTTAGTAAATCATCTATAGAGTAACTAACTTAAGGAGGATTAAAGGTTCAAATCTCTTTATACTTTTTTTTTTTTACCCATATTCAACAATTATCCTTCTTTTATCTGTTCGAATTATTTTATCAAAACAATTATGTTTCATGTTTTGTTATGAATATTTTCGAGTTAATACCCAATATAGTTCTCGATTATAGTGGTGTTACTCGATTTAGTTCTAATTAATTGGCTTTTTGTGCTTAATTTATCATCCATCATCCAATAATAAAATCAACATCTTTAATTTGCTGGAAGATGTTAATTAATACATAATTTCAAATAAACCCTTTTCTTTTAATTACTCCGCAATTATATTCTCTTTGGAATAGATGAACAGTCGACGCTACGGCTAATCGGAAATGGAAGGGGGAGATGACAATAAGCTGGGAGTTCTTGAGCTCGTTTCAACTGCTCCGGCGTGGTTTTATCAATCAACTCTTTCATGCACTGGCACGCGTCCTGTCTGTCTTGCTTTGTTTTTAAACCGTCCTCCACTGTTTTCAAGGCTTGACAACATGTCGCCGGTATCGTCCCACCATTCAATATGTAGTTGGCGCATGGTAAAAGTGTGTTGATGAGGCCAGGGCACGTTACCTGCGCCTCCACCCAAGGCGGCGGGATAACAACGCCGGAGGTGATGACGCATAGGAGGAGCAATGACATCAGCTGCTTTCGGTTTCCAATGATTGCCATTGTGTAGCTAGTTTGTTGGATTGATATATATAAGAATGTGATTAGTGTGGAAATGATTGGGCCGGGAGGGATTGGGAGTTATATATAGCTACCGTTTAGCATGCATTTTCTAATTATTTTTTTTGGTGGGGACATTTTCTAATTATTATGTGTGCTTTAAGTAAAATAAGTATTTTAAAAAAAAAAAAAAAAAGTAAATCAGTATATTTTAAAGCTAAATATGGCAATTTTAGATGAATAACCATATTTACTAAATATGGCTAAATTAAATATGGTTATTTATCTAAAATCACTACTGGAAATTCTGAAATTTCCGACCACCTGAAAGTGATCTTAAATCAAGTTGAAAGTCTTGTTCCGACCACTTTTGGTATTCGGAAAAACCCTTGTTGCTATTTCCGACCACTTTTTGCTTTCAATTTGATTTAAGATTACTTTCAGGTGGTCGGAAATTCAATAATTTCCAGTAGTGAATTGCTATATTTAGCTTAAATACGGATTTTTCTTAAATCATTTATAATAATTTTAAATTATTAATTTTGTGTCAATAATCTTGTGATCTAGTGACACGAAATAGCTTTCTCAAATAAGAGGCATTGGTTAGATCCCCAGTATACTAGTCAATAGTACTAAAAAAAAATGTATTTAATTAAAATTTCAATTCAAATTAAATAGAATAATACGTGTAGAGAAAGTTAAAGTTGTTTATAAAATTTTAGAGTTAGGTTCAATTCATTTTAAATTAATTAGAGAGTAATTCATGTTGCGAACTATAAGAACTTCAGAGGTTTTAATTTATATATATATATATATATATATATATATATATATATATCAGAAACGCAGAATCATGCATCCTATTAGTCTTAACGAATTATTATTACTATAATAAGTATTTACTATAATTTACTAGAATAATAATAATAATAATAATAATAATAATAGTAATAATAATAATAATAATAGTAATAATAATAATAATAATAATAATAATAATAATAATAATAATAATAATAATAATAATAAAATGCTATACTATAATAGCGAATTAGCCGATTTATAAATAAATTCATGTAATTTAACATGTTGAGTAGAAGAAGAATATAATATTAGTTACTATTATTGTTATATATATATATATATATTAGTAATTATTATTATTATAGTAGTAATAATTCACATAGAGAACGAATTTTTCAAAATATACTGAAACGCGGAATCATGCATCCTATTAGTCTTAACGAATTATTATAACTATAATTACTATTTACTATAATTTACTATAATAATAATAATAATAATAATAATAATAATAATAATAATAATAATAATAATAATAATAATAATAATAATAATAATAATAATAATATAATACTATATATAATAGCAAATTAGCCAATTTATAAATAAATTCATGTAATTCGTGTAATTTAACATGTTGAGTAGAAGAAGAATATAATATTAGTTGCTATTATTGTTATTATCATTATTATTATTATTATAGTAATTATTATTGTAATAATAATTTGTTATTATAGTATAGTATTTTAATTAAATTAAATTATTTAAATTAAATCACCCTATATATATTTTGTATTACAAATGATCATCCTTAATTAAATCAGCCTATATATTTATTATTACAAATAATCATTCTTAATTAAATTAGATCATTCATAATTAAATTAAATCATTCTTAATTAAATCATTTAAATTAAATCAGCCTATATATTTAGTATTATAAATAATCATCCTAAATTAAATTCAATCATTCTTAATTAAATTATTTAAATTAAATCAACCCAAAAAAATTTCTTCCAAATGTGAAAACATTTATTGTATTCATATTAATTTATAAATAGATTCATGTAATTCCCAAAATTTTTCCCTCCAAATGTGAAAACATTTATTGTATTCATATTAATTTATAAATAAATAGATTCATGTAATTCATGTAATTTTGAATCCGGTGTTTCTATCACCATCTCTAATCCAGCTCATCTTAGACTTTTGAATCCAGAGGGCCTCCTCTTGGTCCAGGACCCGGTTAAGATCTGTAGACAACTTTTTCTCCAAGACTTAGCTTGCAGCCTTCTAGAAACCATGTAGTTGGGATGTTGTTGGATTCCCCGAATTCTATATTCAATGGTTTTTTTCCTTTTAAAGATATTACCAAACATCTCTTTGTTCTAGCGTTTACTCTGGTTCGTTATGTCAGAAATAATATCCACCATATTACGACCTTCAGCCCTACTAGCATTCTTCCAAATCGAGGCGTAGTCTTCTCTAGATAACCAAGCTGCTTCGAACCGAAAGGGGCGGAGGTCACGGTCAGGAGGGACACCTGCCACTTCTCTAAATAACAAAGGTTTGTGATCTGAAGCCTCGGGAGGGTCATAACTTTTGCCTCCGGGAACACCAGCTGAGCATTAATATTCCAAAGAACCCTGTCCAGGCGCCGTAACTGTGTGACCCTGTTACCCACATAGCGGCACTAGGTAAATTAGAACCCGTGACCCCTGGATCTTGGAGCCCACACGCACTAAATGAATCCACAAATCTCTGCATACTAACGTGGTTCATGGTATCACTTCCCCACTATTCATCAGTCGTGGCAATATCATTTAAGTCCCCCAATAGGATCCAGGCACCTTGGATGAAGTTAGAGAACACTTTGCAATCATCCCATAACCTGTTATTGGCCATAATATTCGGTCTAACGTATGCAAAGGTAATAAAACAATCATCCGGTCTATTCTTAACTTTCGTGTGAATGGCTTGGGAGGAATGGCTAATAATATCAAAATCAATTTTCCCCTTCTTGCAAAGCAGAAGTAAACCACCTGCAAAACCAATAGGCTCGACCAAAAAATGGTTAGAAAACCCAAGATTATTGGTCATGCTGATCATGCTATTAATCTTGGGCGAACGAATCTCAAGGAGACATAGAGCGTCATCATTGGACGTGTTTAGAAGCTCTTTTACATGTTTCCTAACACGCCCGTTAACCACACCTCTACAGTTCCAGGAGATCACAATCATTGAGAAACCGCGGCAGGGGGGAAATTTGGCAACCACCTTCCCCAGGCGTGATACTCAAAGTGGCAAGACCGCTTAATAACGGTGCCGAACCAACACCCCACCCCGGTAACGAGACCGAGGGATCACCAAACTGGAAATAAAGAGGTTGATCATCCTGACCAAGCCTAGCTGATGATGACGACTCCGGAGCCACCACTCTAGCCATGCCACCTCTTCTCGCACCCCTACCGTTCCCACGACTCGCACCGAGGCTACCACCTCGGCTTCTGGCATAACCATTATTGGTTTTCCTAGGAGCCATAGTGGAGGCCGAATGCGAAGGTGGTACTGGAGGCGCTTGGGTGAGGTGAGATGCAGACGGTCTATGGTGGGAAGGAGAGAGAGGGTTAACAGACATACCTGTAGGCTGGTTGTTCAAATCGCTAGACAGTGGAAAGGAACTAGGCACCTGGGTGGTGATCGTAGGATGTTCTCCAAGGCTAGCCAAAGGAGCGAACTGATTTCCCTTGGTGTGATTGGAGCCCTTCGATTGCTTATTCCAGCGATTATTTTTCTTGTTGCCTTGGTGTCTAATTTCTTCTTTGTGACAATCATCCAAGGACCACGAGGTCTTGCAGCGGTGGTCGTCGGTGGAGGAGATGCCACAATGGTCAATTGAGGGTTCACAGAGGTCGGTTGAGTGTTAGCAGGGGGTGTCAGCTGGGAAATGTTGTGGATGTTTGTCTGTTGATTGTCTCGTAAACACAAAAAAGTAAACTTTGTATATATTTCACAAAATTCCTTGTACAGTGTATGTATAATTCAATATGCAGGTACAAAATATCTGTCTAGTCCTCCGATTCTTCACTGACGTTATCTATTGAAGTGCCTCTGGGATTCAAATAGCGTAGCCTTCGGGATTCAATTAGCACGTGCCTCCGGGATTCAAGTGGCGTAGCTTCTGGGATTCAATTGGCGTGACTTTCAACAACGAACGTCAAGAATTTAGAAATAATCGACCCTGCAATGGATTCAAATTGCCTGCAAAATCAACAAAATTGCCTTCAAGTCTTCAAGCGTTCTTCAATGCCGTTTTCTATTGAAGTGCCTCCGGGATTCAAATAGCGTAGCCTCTGGGATTCAAGTGCGCGTGCCTCCGGGATTTAAACGGCGTAGCTTCCAGGATTCAAACGACGTGATCTTCAACAGCAAACGTCAAGCTCCGAAGCAATCAACTCTGCAAAACATCAAATTAAAGCGCCTGCAATGGCTTCAAGTTGCCTTCAAAAGGCTCCAAGATCTTCAAAGTACCTACAAAAAAAGGCTTCAAGTTGCTTCAAGATCTTTAAAACCTGCAAAAAAATGCCTTCAATGCCTTTAATTCTTCAAGATCTTCAAATGCCTTCAAAAGAGCTCTCAAATCTTCAAGACTAAGTTGTCAAGCGTTCTTCAATGCTTTCAAGCTCTCAAGTCTTCAAGTTGTTCTCAATGTATTTAAGGTGTGATTTGAAGAATGGAATTGTGGCTCTATTTATAGTGAAGTTTGTAACTAAAATCCCTCAACAAACTCCACTAATATTTATTTAATTTATTTAATTAAATTAATTAATTATCTACTAAAATGAACCTTGCCAAAGTCAAGTCTAGGTTCATTATTCTATCATCAAATTCAAATTCAAATTAAATTATAATTATCTAATTCAAATATAATAAAATCATATTATATTTAAATTATAATTATAATTATAATTCAATTATTATGAAATGGGCTTGGACCAATTAATTACTTAATTTCAATAGCCCAAATCAAATTTACTTGGACTAATTAAATTAATTTAATTATGCCCAATTAATTAAATTGGACTAATGACCAACCCTGAAATTGGGCTCGATAATTATTTAATCGGTCCACTTGTTAACTTCAAATTTACTGTGTCTACAGTCTCCCTCACTCTCAGCCATATGAACCTCGTTCAAAT